TAATAGTAATAATAATTATTAAATAATTTAATAATTGAATAATTGTTCATTTATGTTACACTTTGTTAGTAGCTTGCACTTGCGGTTGTTCATCAGTTAGTAAGAAAAATATCTACAAAAATGGAAAAGGTACTAGTAATTTTCCAGGGCATTATCCGTTATCCATTATCCGTTATAACCTGAAAACACAAATTACAATGTGTAATTAAAAATGCAGGTAAAAAAACCAGTGGAAAAATCCATACGGAAAATTCCTTCATTATAACATAGTAGCTTGTCTTAGAGTGCTTAGAGTGCACTAACTACTAATACACCACTTAAAAATATAATTGTTCAGAATGTGTAGTTTTAGTTATTTTAGTTATTTAAAAAAAAAAAAACTTAAATTGTAATAGTTCAAAAATGTATTCAATGTATTTAATAAAATAGTTATTTACATTTTAATATTATATTATGCATTTATATTATTTTACGAACAAATCTAAATGGACATAAAATATTTTTTTGCTGAGATTTAATGTAGTGACACAATTTTGCGTCGTGATTACGCAATGACGTCACAACGTCATTTAGCAACTTTTAGCAACAAATCAACCTTCCGTTAGCAACTTCCCCTGAAAACTAGTCGGCAACACTGTCCAATACACGAACAAATCATTCTTAAGAGTCGGTTCTTCTAATTGTTAAAACTCGCGAATTGCCTGATCTGCGAGATATTATTTGCAGTAACGTTAATGGTTTCGAAATAAAGTTTCGTGTGGGTATATGTGGAAACTGTCCATATCACAGTATGCGTTCAGCTTTCAACAAATCATATCGAACAGAAAGAATGAAATCAATTTAAGGCGATAACAATCACATTATCGTTGAAACGCCTAAATGCATAAATACGAATATGTACACTTTAGTAATGCCACTCACCTGCAAAATAATTGGCGACGATGTCTGGTTTCTCCCTTGAAGGCCATTAATCCTTGGAAAATTCACATGTCTTTGTTATTAAACTTCATTATGTCTCTACATGAATGTGTGTGTCCTCATGTAACTCAAAATGCCAATTTCTACCGGGTTTTTTTTATTTTTAAAATCGAATAAAATAAACACACCGACTATTACAAAAAAAAACATAAGTTTGCAAGTTGGCAGTTTGTGACGTGAACGTTCAAAAGCCAAAAGCGCGCCAAGAGAGATCCACCAATCACCGCCAAGGAAACTGTAGCAACTTTTTCTTCCAGAAGCACCTAGCAACAAATTTAGCTATTTTTAAAATTCATTTGGCAACTTTTAGCAACTTTTGATAAGTGACTCAAACGATAAAAAGGCACACATTTACCATCTAAATGGCACAAAAAGAGAAATCCAAAGATGCCTAGTAGTACACACCTAGCTTCTTTTTTTTTTCAATTGTTCAATTTAATAATAATAATAATTATTAAATAATTTAATAATTGAATAATTGTTCATTTATGTTACACTTTGTTAGTAGCTTGCACTTGCGGTTGTTCATCAGTTAGTAAGAAAAATATCTACAAAAATGGAAAAGGTACTAGTAATTTTCCAGGGCATTATCCGTTATCCATTATCCGTTATAACCTGAAAACACAAATTACAATGTGTAATTAAAAATGCAGGTAAAAAAACCAGTGGAAAAATCCATACGGAAAATTCCTTCATTATAACATAGTAGCTTGTCTTAGAGTGCAATATACTAACTAACTACTAATACACCACTTAAAAATATAATTGTTCAGAATGTGTAGTTTTAGTTATTTACTAGCTAACAAAAAATAAATTGTAATTGTTCAAAAATGTGTACGTTTTCAATAATTCAATTTAATAAAAATGGTTATTTACATTTTAATATGCATTTATATTATTTTACGAACAAATCTAAATGAACACAAAATATATTTTTTGCTGAGATTTGATGTAGCGACACAATTTTGCGTCGTGATTACGTAATGACGTCATCGCGCAGTGACATCATTTAGCAAAAATTAGTTGGCGACACTGAAAGTAGCTCAATTTCGCGGGAAAACCGCGGAATTGGCAACACTGAACAGAAGCTGATAAGTCCATTTTAGTGAATCAGCACACTGTATTCAGGTCAGGTGACAAGGCTACTTTCACTTTGAAAAGACGTGCTAGCTGAGAGGAGTTTCGTCAAAGCTGACTAAAAGTGATCGAGGATGGATAATTTCGACGAACTTGATGAACCTGTGATATCTTCTTCAGGGCGAAAAAGGAAAAAAAAAGCTGAAATATTTTCACGGAAGCTTGCAAAAGCAGCGCGTTACAATGGTGAGGGAAAAGCTCCGTGTATTGCGTGTAATCACATCCATACAGCTTATGATCACAACAACAACAACGTTTGTCAGGCGTCTACATAGTCATCTGAGGAGATTACAAAGATTAAACCAGTGTTTTTTAAACTCTAAAACATGAAATGTGGAGTTATCTGCTTTTGCTATAAAACAAACTTTAATAAGTAAAAAAAACATACTTTCAATGAACCTTAATTTTGTAAATTACCTGTATTTGTTTAAGTTATTATTACTTAATCAAAACAACCCAACTGCAGTTTGATTGATATTACTTGGAATGCGCAAAAAAAAACGTGATTTCTGAAAAATAAAATAAAAATGTTATCGGTTTTTGCAAATGAACTCCTCGTATATAAACTCTATATAAACTGAATAAATAATAAACAGTAAATGTGTTCATCATTCTGCAACAAAGATTTTCTTGATCATTTTAAGTCATAAAGTGCGCAGGATATATAAAAATTCACGTGATATACTAAAAAGGCACGTAAAGTTGACACAAACTCAACAGCGCCTCACAAATGATACAATGTAAATCTGTGGTGAAAAATGGAACTGCAGCACGCTCTAATTTTGAGACTGCCCCGCTTATTTTCTTATCTCCAGACAAGATGATATCAGTCAGCTTCAGCTACATGTGTCTGCATCAGGTCAGTAACTAGCTGGCATGTCTGTTTTTCCTATATAGAGTAGTGTTTTAAATTAATCAAAGTGTTAATCCTTTAGTTTAACTGTGCTCATGCGAAAAGCCTTTATATATTTTTGTTGTGTTTGTATTGAGATGAGACATGATATTCGTTTCCTCACTTAATAACATTCTAAATCAACATTCGGAGACAATATTAAGGCAATAAATCCATGGCATTCTATAGCTGTGTCCCAAATCACGTACTTATGCACTATTCGATGACGTTTTGTAGTATAAATAGTGCGAGTAGTGCGTTCACACTGAAAATTCCATAAAGAAAAAGTGACCTTTAAATACCCGGAATGATGCACTTAAATATCCGCAAAAACGAAGTGTGGAATGTTGGACACTTCATGCACTCAACTGTCGCAGCTTTAATTACGTAGCGAAGGGGGAGGGGCTATCAGACTCCGATTATGAATGACAGAATAATCTTATATAATTCATACTCTGCATGGTTGAGTACATAGTGTATAAGTGCGTCATTTGGGACGTAGCTTATGTGTGTGTATTTCGAGCCTGTCAATCAACATTAGTGTGCCGCCCACAGGCTGAATAACGCAAGGACATTCGATCTCTGCCAAAAGTGTGTGTGCATGTGTTCAGCGATTAGACTGTATCAAGACTGTAAACTTTGTTGAGTTTATTACAAACTAGCGCTACGACCCAGAATCTACCCCACCTAAATTTACGGTCAGGAGCCGCTACTGGAAATCACACGGTTTGAGAGTGAAGCTCACCACAAACGTGAAGGCTTTGGGAGACACGGCCCTGTACTCCGGCAGACAGTCGCGCACACACACCTCCACCTGAGCGTCCTGCACACGGTAACCTGTGGCATCGGCCAGCCGACACACGATCCTGCAGAGAGACAGAGAGAGACGAGGGTCTGTGAGGAGCGTTTCTAGCTTCCAGCTTAGGACAGATGGGAACAGAGTTTCCTGTGTTAGCAATGAAAAAACACAGCTGTTTGTTTATTTCCTGGAAGTGTGAAGCGCTGCCATGATTTATTAGTAAACTGTAAAGTCACTGTCACTGCATTCAGTACCAGGACGCAAAAAATGTCACATCAAAGATGCATTTGGAAGTATGAATGAAAGGCACAGCATCCAGAAACTGCAACAAACAGATGTCACTGGTGTTTTTTTAATAAGAGAAGGTGATTTATAGATGAGTTAAAGATAATAAAATTATGACCTATACAGACAAACTGGAAAATTATGTTAAAAATTCTATAATATTTCATCTAAATTAATTTAGAATGTAAATCATTTTATATGCAGCAAGTGAATATTTATTTTGAGACTACATTTGCTATTAAATTTGTTTTGAAGATTACTTGATAATGTAAAAATAGTGTAAATGAGCATGCACAATTAAACAGCGAATATATATGCAAAATTAACTGATGCAAAATAGTGACAATGATGACGTAACATCCAATGCTGATAATAAAACAATCTACTGTTGCCATGGTTACCTTTAAACACAAACGTGATTGGCTGTTTTCAACAGCTGGGTTTCCATGCACACATTTTCATGCAAATTGTTGAATGCTGAATAGGAAAAACACTTAAAATCTCCAAAATGTGCATAAATACACTCTAGTAAAGTACCTCAGTTCTCCATTTCTATTTTGCACCAGTTTCTCCAAAAGTGATGATTGCATTCTCTTGAAGCCATGATGGAGATGCTGCTTTATTAGTAAATTATTTTGCTCATTTTATTTCACAAATTAAAAACGCAAAACATTATTTTGCAATTGACAATGCAGCATCTCATACTAATGATAATAGAAAACGCTTGAGAGCTCTGCTATCACTCCAGTGATTTGTGCAAACATGATTTCTGTTGGTTTGTCACAGGACACTTTACACATCAGTCAGACACTCTCTTCCTTTCTACGTAGGCAGTTTTCGGCCAGAATAAGCTGATAGTCAACATTCAGACTAGACGAGACTAAACGCAGATCAGATGCTATTTCAGGACACAAACATAATAGATCATTCACTCAAACAGACTCATAGTTACTAATTAAAATAACACACAACTACCCATCAACCGCAGCAAAATTCATTTAATATGTGACCCTGGAGCACAAAAGCAGTCTTAAGTCACATACATGTCTGTATAAACAAACTGTTTGAGACACTCACTGCTCAGCGCTGATGTATTCCTCCTCGATGGGCTGACAGGCCACTTTCCCGATCCGCACTCCGTTCTGGATGTCTTTGAACTGAAGGCCCAGATTCTCTCCGCTGATGGTCAGTCTGGTTCCTCCCTGCCGCGGGCCGGTCTCAGGAAACAACTGCACCACGACAGATATGCAAATTACACTTTTTTGCATGAACTATTATGCAATCAGAAGTGTAAGAAGCGAGTGCATCCGCGGCAGACAAACACAAATGACAGCATCACATGAAACCCAAGCGCAGAAGCAAACACAAACGGGTAATTGGTTTCAGAGGGACCGCTTTCATTTGACATTCACACATTTTTACAGAGAGACGGATGAAAATACAAAAGCGCAGCTTGAGAGAGAGTAAAGCAGAGGAACAGAGAGAGAATAGGTGAACATCTTCTGAACAGATGGCTCTCGGAGCGCCTATGGTGTGCTAATAATCCACGTGATAAATTCATTCTTCTCCAAATTAAATTAACACCTAATCTAATAAGTAAAAGATGACAGCGGCGCCGCACAGATAGAGAGCAAGCATGAGAAATCGAACGAGGAGAACAAAGGAGGAGTTTAATTAACACGAGGGGATGTAAATTTAGTAAGTAGATGTTCTAAAAGTTAATATTCCGTTGGCAGGAAAATTTGGAACTCGATGTAACGCCGCAGAGAAAATCTACAGAATAACAGAGAGTGAGGAAGAAAGAAGAAAACTTATCAGCGCCTGTAACATCAAGTCAAAACCTGTCAGATATCAAGCGTTTGTCAAGCATGTGAAAAGAAGGAAAACCTGCCCCCTCCCCCATTAAATATGACTATATAATAATAATAATAATAAATTGCAATAAAATATACTATTGCAATAAAATATTTGTATTTAATTTTTAAAATCGAAATAAAGTACAATTTTTACAATAATAATAAAAATATATATTTACTACTATTAATATAATATAATAATAAATATTACATATTTGCTTATTATTAGTAGTACTATTATTATTATTTAAAATAATAAAAAATATTTAAGGAAAAAAGAACAAAAAAATACTATTGCAATAATATTATTGTACTGTAAATTTAAAATGATGACAACAACAATAATAATAAATTGCATTAAAATATACTATTGCAATAAAATTTGTATTTAATTTTTAAAATTGAAATAAAGTACAATTTTAACAATAATAATAAAAAATATATTTACTACTATTAATATAATATAATAATAAATATTACATATTTACTTTATTATTAGTAGTACTATTATTATTATTTAAAACAATAAAAAATATTTGAAAAAATGAAGAAAAAAAATACTATTGCAATAATATTATTGTACTGTAAATTAAAAATGATGACAACAACAATAAATTGCATTAAAATATACTATTGCAATTAATTTTTTTACATTTAAATAAAGTACAATAATAGCAATAATAAACTATATTTACTACTATTAACACTATTACTACTATTAATATAATACAATATAACAACAACAATAATAATAATAATACAAATAATAATTTTTTAGCTTTTATTTTAGTGGAAACCACAGGGATACCTTAAAACTTCCTTTTTGTTAGCAATAGATTTATAAACAGGTCTCAATACAAGTTTGAAAGTAAAGAAAGAAAAACAAACATTCATTTTTTTTTTATAGATTTTTTTATAGTTTAGTGCCATGCCAGCTACCATGGCTATATTCATGGTGAGAAAAGTAAATAAATAAATAAACTGTAGAAAACATCAAATAAAAAACGTGCATAGAAGGTTTTTAGAGTTAATCTTTGACCTCTGGTTTGCAGTGACTCACCCTGGTGATGCGCGGGTGCGTGCAGCGGCTGTTTCCGGCGGTCGCATGCATCCAGGTGTGTTCCTGCTGAGCGCATTCCTGCCGCAGAGAGCACTTCCTGTCCTGAATACACCAGCCGCACTCGAAGCTGGGGTCGGCCTTCAGACACAAACCACAGCTCTCCCGCAACGCATAACACTTATACAGGTGCGCTGCAGAGAGGAAGAGAGCTTCGCTTACGATTCATGGACACAAGGAAACTTTGTCATTCTGCATCCCATTCAACTCAACTCAATCAAACAATGTTGGACTTTCCAGGAAACTCAGATTTTCAATGACACAGTCAAGAGTTTTCCAAACTGATTCCAGGGAAATAGAAACAATAAAAATAAAAATAAATAAATTCCTATAACACTAAACTAAGAAAAAAAACTAAGATTACAATAAATATAGATAAATATACAAATAAAGACACATAACATTTTTTTTTAAATACATAAACGTATAATAGATTAAATAAATCAAATAAACAAATAAATAAACATTAAAATAAATAAATTAAATGTAAAAATTAAATAAAATAAAATGAAAAAATAAATAAAGTAAATAACTAAATAAATAAAGATTAAAATAAATAAATAAGCATTTAACAGTGCAGTCCTATAATGAGCAAATATGTATTATGTAATATTAAATGAATAGAAACAAAACATTTTTCACACTATAATCTTTATACAAGAAACCATATAGTTGGCCTTTAAATTTAAGATGATCATATTTTGGCATAAGTGGCATACAAAACATTGAAAACCCCTGACATATCTATCAATTAAAGTGTCAAGCTAACGTTGTATTCTAAGCCTCAGTGGGTCAGAAGTAAGAGATATGAAGTAGAAATATCCCACATTTGACTGTGAACGGATGACAGCATGAGTTCAAACTGATGCCAGCATTATGAATCACGAGCAACAACATGCCTGCAGAGCTGAAGGACAGGATTCATTTATTACCACATTGCATCTGCTTTTCCTGCTTACAAACTGTAGAGAATGTGAAGCGTGCTTGTTTACACAAGCAAACGATGCTTTAAAACATTTATAGATGCTGCATCTCTCTCCAGCAGCATCCTGTGGCGGTTGCTAGGCTACCGGCTACGCAGTGGTCGCCATGGTTACCTTGGATGTTGTGAGGGTTGTCAATGATGAAGTTTGAAGTTTCCGCCACAGACAGATCAACGGGAAGATCGCTGATGTCACTTCCTTCATAGTTATACTGCAACATGCAACACAATGACATTTAACAAAATCCAGCACGTACATGAATATGAGAGAACATTTAACTAGATTTGAGCAGGGTTTGCCTGTGCAAACATGGTGCTTGCGTGATGCTAGACGGTTACTTTAAGATGTAAAGCATCTTCTCAGGTGACCGTGAGGCCGTTCTTGACCTCTCCTCTGTTATTTTCCTGTTTTATTAATATGATATTATTTATTTAAGCGCTGGGACGCTGCATGTACACTGCAGAGAGTGAAGGACGCTCTCTAATAAGGGTTTACAAAACCACGTCCTTCTGAAGCGCGTCTCACACGCATCCTTTCATTCGCCCTTAACTCTCATTAAAGTTTCAGTCAGTCTGTTCTCACTTTATAATTTTATTTGCTCGGAACTATGGACGTTTGGTTTTGCCACTAAATAAAAAATAAAAAAGGTAATTGTGACCTTTTTCTCTCAAAATTCTGACTTATTTTCTTGCAATTGCAAGTTTACATCTTGCAATTCTGACTTCTTTTGTCAGAACTGAGCGATATAAACTCACTATTGTCAGAAAATGTCAGAACTGTGAGCTGATTTATTCCTCAGAATTGGACTCTATAACTCGCAATTGTGAGTTTATAGGTCGCAATTCTGAGAAAAGAAGTCAGAATTTCAAAATTTTCAATTGCGAAAAAACTCTTAATTCCAAGAGAAAAGCGTGAGAAATAAAACAAAAACACTCAAAATTGCAATAAAAAGGTCAGAGTTGCAACAAAGAAACTGTAAGAAAACTCAAAATTGCGAGGAAAAAGGCAGAATTGTGAGATATAAACTCAAACTATAAAAAAAGGTCAGAACAATGTAACACATTCATCTTTAAATAGTTTTTAATAGATTTAATATATTACATATATTGTCCTGACATCCCAGACCTCTGTCACGGATGAAAACCTACAGGAGCGGTGGAGGAATATTCACACGTGTGTGTGTGTGTGTGTGTGTGTGTGTGTGTGTGAGAGTGAGTGTCAGTGAGTGTGCGTGTGTATGTGTGTGTGAGAGAGAGTGTGTGTGTGTGTGTGTGTGTGTGTGTGTGTGTGTGTGTGTGAGAGTGTGTGTGGGTCAGAAGTAAGAGATATGAAGTAGAAATATCCCACATTTGACTGTGAACGGATGACAGCATGAGTTCAAACTGATGCCAGCATTATGAATCACGAGCAACAACATGCCTGCAGAGCTGAAGGACAGGATTCATTTATTACCACATTGCATCTGCTTTTCCTGCTTACAAACTGTAGAGAATGTGAAGCGTGCTTGTTTACACAAGCAAACGATGCTTTAAAACATTTATAGATGCTGCATCTCTCTCCAGCAGCATCCTGTGGCGGTTGCTAGGCTACCGGCTACGCAGTGGTCGCCATGGTTACCTTGGATGTTGTGAGGGTTGTCAATGATGAAGTTTCCGTTCCACACCACAGACAGATCAACGGGAAGATCGCTGATGTCACTTCCTTCATAGTTATACTGCAACACAAGGACAAATGACATTTAACAAAATCCAGCACGTACATGAATATGAGAGAACATTTAACTAGATTTGAGCAGGGTTTGCCTGTGCAAACATGGTGCTTGCGTGATGCTAGACGGTTACTTTAAGATGTAAAGCATCTTCTCAGGTGACCGTGAGGCCGTTCTTGACCTCTCCTCTGTTATTTTCCTGTTTTATTAATATGATATTATTTATTTAAGAGCTGGGACGCTGCATGTACACTGCAGAGAGTGAAGGACGCTCTCTAATAAGGGTTTACAAAACCACGTCCTTCTGAAGCGCGTCTCACACGCATCCTTTCATTCGCCCTTAACTCTCATTAAAGTTTCAGTCAGTCTGTTCTCACTTTATAATTTTATTTGCTCGGAACTATGGACGTTTGGTTTTGCCACTAAATAAAAAATAAAAAAGGTAATTGTGACCTTTTTCTCTCAAAATTCTGACTTATTTTCTTGCAATTGCAAGTTTACATCTTGCAATTCTGACTTCTTTTGTCAGAACTGAGCGATATAAACTCACTATTGTCAGAAAATGTCAGAACTGTGAGCTGATTTATTCCTCAGAATTGGACTCTATAACTCGCAATTGTGAGTTTATAGGTCGCAATTCTGAGAAAAGAAGTCAGAATTTCAAAATTTTCAATTGCGAAAAAACTCTTAATTCCAAGAGAAAAGCGTGAGAAATAAAACAAAAACACTCAAAATTGCAATAAAAAGGTCAGAGTTGCAACAAAGAAACTGTAAGAAAACTCAAAATTGCGAGGAAAAAGGCAGAATTGTGAGATATAAACTCAAACTATAAAAAAAGGTCAGAACAATGTAACACATTCATCTTTAAATAGTTTTTAATAGATTTAATATATTACATATATTGTCCTGACATCCCAGACCTCTGTCACGGATGAAAACCTACAGGAGCGGTGGAGGAATATTCACACGTGTGTGTGTGTGTGTGTGTGTGTGTGTGATGGAGTCAGCAGGACTCAGATGAAGAAACACACAAGACACATCTGAACCCAGCTAGAGAGCGACAGCATGAATCACTGAATAGAGATTAATGAAGGAGCACTACAGCGCTTCACCGCGGGACCTCCCTCTGAGAGAAGAGAGCGGCGCTTTAAGACACACACGCAACACGCAGGAATAAATAAATGAAACGCTTCAGAAAGAGAGAGAGAGAGAGAGAGATTCTGTAGCAGTCACACTCAGATAATTGCTTATTTTGAGAGCAGACCTGCATTGAGCTGTTAGAAAGCATAGCTCTCAAAAATACACACACACACCACAGAGATTTCAAAGAGCACTAGAGCGGGACATTCTCTGAGGAAAAAACAATGTGAGGCTAAGGTGCTGGTGGATGGGTGCCAGGGCGTTGCTATGCAGTTGCTAGGGGTGTTCTGGATATAGTCTCACCCACCCTCTGTGTTATTCTGGTCTGTAAATATGCCACGTTCGCCTCAAATCACTAACCCATGTGTAAGCGATGCTAACAGCGATGCTTTCCATAGTATAAAGCACACACTCATCTGTCATTCATTATTTGCATGTGCGCTCATGAGCCACGGATAATTAACTAGGCACTAACGATTTGGTCTCTCATTAGTTAGGAAATGAAAAATGATTTATGATATGAACACGAGTGCTGCTCTGTCTTACATGTATGTTATGGTAATCCATTCCCCCCGCAGGCTGCAGACGTGCGATCGATTTATTTGGCGTGAGACTGACGCTTTTGAGCAGGCGGTTAACCTCTCACCGGCGTGGGAAGACGAGCGCTCGTCTAATTAAATAAACGAGAGATGACGTGGTCAGGCTGAAGAGGACAATGTGTTTGAGTGTGTGTGAGTGGCCTGCATCAGATGATAATAATCACTGGAAAGAGTTTGATTTCATTTACTAATATACATGTGCTATATAAAGAGAGCACAGCCGCCCACTGCAGAACACATGCTTCCTATTTCCACATCTCACCAAGATTATTACCGTTACCAAAAAAACGTTCCAAAGATGAAAACCAGCAGTGAAAACTAAATTAATAGTAAAAACGAGAGGTTGCTAAACAATAAATGCATGCATCAATAAATGCATAAATAAGTGAATAAAAGCAAGTATGCATAAACAAATAAATGTACAAATAAGCACATAAATGCATGCATGCATAAATAAATGCATTATGGATGCATGCATTTATTTATTTATGCATGCATGCATGCATGCATTTATGTGTTTATAATTAATAAAATAATAATATTAATAAACATGAATAAGCGAATAAAAGCAATCATGTATAAATTAATACATAAATAAGTGCATAAATGCATGCATGCATAAATAAACAAATAAATGCAATAAACAAGTGCATAAATGTATGCATGCATATACAAATAAATGTATAAATAAGTGCATAAATGCATGCATGGATATAGAAATATATGCATAAAATAAGTGCATAAATGTATGCATTAATACACAAATAAATGCATAAATGCATGCATTGCAGACAAAATCAATGTATCTAATTACACAAGATGTGCTAATCTGATATATCACATCCTGTGCTGTTAAAGTAAAACTTATAGTGACAAAAAGTAATTTATGAACAATTGAAACCAAATAAAAACCATATCGAAGTTAAAAAGCAAACTCCAAAAAAGAAATAAAAATACGAACTAGTGAACCTTTCAAAACTACAATAAGCCAAGTCATCGTTTCTTTCTTTTGTCTTGTTGATCTGATCTCCACACAATCACAGCAGTAATCATATGTTTGGCGGTTTGGAGTCTCATGTGGGACGCTGAAGGATGTTGATTTAGTGATTCAGCTGATGGTTTAATGATCTTTGTCCTTCCTCTGACCCCGGCTATTGTGTCCTGAAGCAGGACCCTTGCTGCTCCGGGGATGTTGTAACATGGACCCCTGTGGGAAAACGCCTCAATCCTCCCAAAGCAAATAAATATTATAATAGGAGTGTGTGCTCATATCAAACTCACCTCATTCAGCCTGATTTAAGTGCCTTATTTGTTGTTCATATACACATTAAAAAAGCAACCAAGTATAGAATAATGAAATAAATGAAATGGTACAAAAACTCTTATATTGCTGTTGTGAGCTTAACTGTGGTAAAATCATGGCTTATTGTTTTCCACCTAAACTTCAGTTAAGAGTGAGAGAAGAATGCATCAATCCGACTCATCTTCATACAATAACTACCATTAAAATAATATTGCTCTCAAGTCCCTCCATATTTAATAGTAAACTTCATTTCTCTTAAGTGATTAATGATTTAAAGCAGTTCTATATCTGCAGTCCTGACACACACACACACACACACACACACACACACACTGGATCAGGTGCAGTGAGTTTCTAAAAGCCTCTGCTGTTCCTGAACGGCCCCCGGCTACAGTCTCTCTTCTCTCTCTCCTCATTTTCTCTTGCTTCATTTTTCTTTACCGTAGTATCTATTACTGCTGTGTCGCTCTCACACTGTAATTAATCATCATTTTTTATCGGTGTCTCCTCTAATTGGTTCTCATCAGAACTCTGCTGCACCTCACACACACACACACACACACACACATCAGCTGTACGAGAGCCGCTCTATTCGTTTCTATTCTCCTCCCAGCGTGTTTTCTGACAGACTGAAAGAGCTTCATAAAGGAAGATGAATTGAACAGATTGACAGATACTGTGAGTCTTCAGGGACAAATGCAGCAACGCACACACTGGGCAGTGAGTTTCTAAAAGCCTCTGCTGTTCCTGAACGGCCCCCGGCTACAGTCTCTCTTCTCTCTCTCCTCATTTTCTCTTGCTTCATTTTTCTTTACCGTAGTATCTATTACTGCTGTGTCGCTCTCACACTGTAATTAATCATCATTTTTTATCGGTGTCTCCTCTAATTGGTTCTCATCAGAACTCTGCTGCACCTCACACACACACACACACACACACACATCAGCTGTACGAGAGCCGCTCTATTCGTTTCTATTCTCCTCCCAGCGTGTTTTCTGACAGACTGAAAGAGCTTCATAAAGGAAGATGAATTGAACAGATTGACAGATACTGTGAGTCTTCAGGGACAAATGCAGCAACGTCACAGAAACATAATGTAAACTTATTAATTTAAAGGGGTCATATGATGCGATTTCAAGTTTTCCTTTACCCCTTTAACTTTTTTTTTTTTTATTATTTTTAATAATATTTATAAATCCAATCCAGAGATTATACATTAATATATTTATAAATAAGTGTATGGATTACATTACCATATTTATATAAATTACCCTTTTTTTTTTTAAGCAATTACTAGTTTTATTCAGCAAGGTTGCATTAAATTGATCAAAAGTTTCTGCAAAGACATTTATAATGTTTTTTTTTTTTAATTTAATAAATGCTGTTCTTTTGAATTTTCTGTTCATCAAAGAATCCCGAAAAATAAGATGTAACATGGTTTCCACAAAAAAATATTAGGCAGCACAACTGTTTTCAACATTGATGATAATCAGAAATGTTTCTTGAGCAGCAAATCAGCA